CCTTCTTGAGTGGACAGCCCCCTGGCCGGTCTCTTGACTGGAGTTCAGACGTGTGCCCTCCCCCCCCCCCCCCCACCGCAACAGGGGACCTCTGTACCTGCTCCGGTCCCTCCGCCCCGGGGCTGAGCGGTGCCCGATCTGTCGTGCATCGCGACTGTGCTGCTCCCTCCTCAGCCCGCGACCCTCCACGGGACCAAGACACACTGAAGAGAATGCCAGGCCGGACGGGACCCTTCTACTTCCCTCATCCCCCCTCGCCCACACGCACACACACGTCCTCCCCCTCGCCTCCCCTTTCTTCCCCTGAGTCGCCCTTTTTCACCTCGTCTCATAGAGACCCCACACTTCCCGGCCATGGCTGCCAACCGCCCTGCCGAGACTATGTCTGCGCTGGAGTGTGCGCTCTCCCCACCTTTCTTTCTCCTCCCCCTTGTCCTCCTCCCTCTCCCTTCCATTCGTCCCGCTCACGCCCCCGCCCCGGTGCCTGCCGCACACCCCTCCCTCGCCGGAATGTGTAGACTCCATTTCCTGGGTCCAGCGCCTCAGCATCCCAGTTCCCTGTGGCCCTCTGACCCCGGAGCAGATCGCCACCATCCCCCCGAACCAGCCCCCGGCCACCGATCCCCACCTTGTGCTGGATCCGGCCAGCGCCGTACGCACCGCCCACCCCCCCCCCTGCCCCCCTGCCCCATGCTCGCCCCGATTGAATGGCGCCTCTCACCTTGGCGGGGTCCGCACCAACATGACACTGACCCCACTGCCCCCTGTGCGTGTCTGTCAGTTTTCTCTGCGCCTTGGTGAGGAGCTGGCCGCGCTGGACCGCCATGCCTGCGACCAGAATGAGCACCATCAGCACCTCCAGGCGCGCTACGCCGTGCTCAAGCGCACGCGCATCGCCGTGATCGAGGCCGCCCGGACGGCCTTCGAGGCTGAGCAGGCCCGCCTGGAGCAGGAGCGCCGCGACCGCGAGGAGCGGGCCCGAGAGGAGAATGAGCGCCTTCTCCGCGCCGAGGCCGAGCGCCGCGAGCGTGAGGAGCGCGAGCGCCTCCAGCGCCAGGAGCAGGAACGCCAGGAGCAGGAGCGCCGCGAGCAGGAACGCCGCGAGCACGAAGAGCGTGAGCGTGCCCGCGCCGCCTCCTTCACCCACTCCATTCAGCCCGGCAACACCGCGCCCGCGGACCAGCCGCCCAAGGTATGTCGCTCTTCGGCTGGCCCCCCCCCCCCCCCCCGGCCTCGGGATTTGCGACTCACGCTCGACCCCCTTCGCGAAGATCAACTACTCGGAGTTCGAGCATGGCTCCTCTCCCTCGAACGCGTGGGACCAGACTGCCAGCACGCCGTCCGATGACCTTTGGCGGCAGTATGGTGGCCAGCGCCCTCCCGCTGCTGGTGTTGCTGCTGCTGCTGCTGCTGGCCCCCCGCCGACAACCGCAACGCCACAAGCCCCGAGTACGCACCATGCCCCACTTGCCGCCTCCCCACATGCATGCATGCACATGTGCATGTGTAGCCATTTGGAGGCACATGCTTCCGCTGCTGGCTTCCTCCCTCTCCATCCGCCTCCCGCTCCCTGGGCCGGTCGACTGACACACGACATAGACCCCTATGCCCCGACTCCCGGGCCAGGCTCGACACCCGGCTATCCCTCCTATCCATCTCCCTACTCTGCGCAGCCGAGCCGCCCTCCGCAGGTACCTCCCGCCTCCTCGGCTCGCCCTCCCCCGCCCTCTCTCTCTCTCTCTCGCTTGGCTCCTGAGATCCCACAACGGCCTAACCCCATGTCCGATGCGCGTTTCCCTCCACTGCAGCCCTCTCCATATGGCGCGACGGCGGGGTATCCTCCCGCCAGCGGGAGCAGCCCCTATCCCGGGGCCGGCGGGCCCCCCTCCGCGCATCCGGGGTATCCCCACCGCCCGGGCGCCTCGCCGCCAGGGAGCCAGCCATCCCCCGGTGGCCCGTATGCCCCGATCCCCGGTAGCCACCCCTCTCCCGGTGGGCCGTACGCCCCGACTCCCGGACCAAATGCCTCATCCTCGCCCGGCTATCCGCCATACCCGGGGGCCCCGTCTGCCGGGGGCGTCCCGCCGCATGCCCGGCCAAATCCCTACCCCGGGGCTGGCAGCGGCCCTGCGCCCTATGCAGGCGGGCCCCCGGGCACCGGGGCCTCTCCCTCCGGGCCTGGGACCTTCTCCGGGGGGCCTTACCCTTCGCAGGGCAACGCCCCTCCCTATGTGGCCGGCGGGTCTCCCTATGGTGCCGGGGGCGGTGCCGGCGGCGCGGGTGGTCCGTATGGGCAGCACCCGCCGGGCGGCCCGCCAGCCGCCCCGTATGGCGGGCCTCAGCCAGTGGCCGGCGCCGCGGCGCGCGTGTCTCGTGACCGCGTCCTCGCGCGCCTGTCCCCGGTGCAGCAGCAGATGTTCCTCCAGATGGAGCCGGTGGGGTATGATGCCGGCCCCCTCGGCGAGGCCATTGCCCTGCTCCACCCGAATCCCTCGCCTGGCAGCCGTGCCGACTACGACCATCTGGTCACCCTGCTAGACCTGTACGGCCAGCTGGACGAGCTGAACATCTACCAGCCCCGGGCCCGGGACCCAAGCCGGCCCCTGACCGAGGACCAGCTCCTCGAGCACTACCGCTTCCTGCTGAAGGCCATCATCGACTACAAGTATGACCTGTCCCAGGTGGCTGACATGCTGCTGGCCCTCGGGTAGGGGGCCTTTCCTTGCCCGTGAACGGTGCCCCCCCCCCTCCCCTCCCCCTCCCTCCGGATGGAAATAGAACGGCTATTTCATTGTGTGTGTATTTTTCATCTCCGAGGGCGAGGCCCGGGGGGGGCCAATATGCGGCAAGAAGGCACGCAGGGAAGGAAAGGGGTGGCCGGGCAGGGGCGAGGGGGGACTGTGGCGCCGCTACTTGAACAGGTTGGCCGGGGTGAAGGCATTGGGCAGGAGCTCGTTGATGGTCAGAACGTTGGAGATGTCGCCGTTCGGGCGAATGGTGATGATCAGGGTGTCCAGGCCAAACTACGAAGCCGGGCGGTCATTGAGCAAGGGTCAGAATGGGGAACATGCTCGAGGGGGGGGGGGCGGGGCGGAATGAAGGAGGGGCGCACCTCGGCCAGGAACTGCCGGCAGGCACCGCAGGGCCAGACATCGGACTCCTCGTCATCGCTGCAGGCCGGACAAGAAGAGCATACGCGGGGGGGGGGGGGGAAGCATGTGAGTGTCAGGTCCCAGGGAGAGAGCACACCAGGGCCCCACGGGGCACGAGGAGGAGCAAGGGAAGAAGGGCGAACGCACGCGGCGACAACGCAGGCGGCAAAGTAGCGCCGGCCACCGGTGATGGCGCGCACAGCGGCCGTGCGCTCGGCACAGACGGTCAGGCCGTAGCTGGCGTTTTCGACATTGGCGCCGGGGATGATCTGGGGCCCGGTCTGGCCGGCGGCCTCCGAGGGGCAGGACCCGTCCAGCGGCAGGGCGGGGATGGGCTGGGCCCCGGCGGCGGTAGCCTCGAGGAAGAACTCGCGCGTGGGGTAGGCCAGCAGGGAGGCGCCGACGCGGAACTTGCTGTAAACCGAGTAGGAGCCATCCTTCGAGGCGATGGCCATCTGGATCATGGTGGCGATGTGGGGCTGGATGAAGGCCGGGAGCGCCGAGTGCGGGACAATCTGCTTGGCGGGCATGGCGGTGGTCATTGGTTGGCTTCAGGAGGGCGGGGAAGAAGGGCTGAGGGGGGGAGGTAAGGTCCGGGGAAAGAGACCCTCTGGTCGAGGGACTCGCGGGGGGCGGCCTATAAATACGGCCCGGGTGATCGGCCGGCTTGCGGTGGAAAAACAAGAGCCCGGCCCCGGGTCTCTCTCACTCTCTCTCTCTCTCTCTCTGCCGGCTGGGCCAGGCTCTGCCAATCAGCCGGCAGGGGCGGCCCCCGGGGAAGGGCCCGAGGGGACAACATGACACACATCGCCCAGGGGACAGACACATACCCAGTGCCCGCCCCCCCCCCCCCCCGCGCCGGGCGGGGTGCCCCGGCCTGCGCGTCCCCTCCCCCACGACCGAGCCTGCCCCGTCCGGCTCCCTGTCCCCCCCCCCCTCCCAGACCGTTGCAACCATACTGGCCTGGTGCGCGTCCATCTTTTCTCCCAGGGGGGGGGGGACGAGAGGGCAAGCACAGAGGCGTGTGCCAGTGCACCCGGCGCAGTGGCCAGAATGCACTGGAGAGCGGCAGGAGGATTGGCATGTGCGGGAAGACATCTCTCGCGAACAATCCCCGACGGGGCAAAGGGGGCCCCTGCCCCCATCACCGCCCGGAACCTTCCGCCGGCCAGGTCCCCCTTGCGGGATATGGGGGAGGGGGGGGGGGGGAGGGCGGGGAAAAGGGAGGAAAAGGCCGACTCGGGGACAGACACAGAGGACCACACAGGACACGCAAGACACTGCACAGGGGGGGGGGGGCACGCGCGGGCGGTGCACGTGTATCGTGCGCCGTGGGCGCAACCAGGGAAAAGCAGGCGAAGGAGGGCGCGCATGGGACAGTATTCAATTTTTAAAGGAAAAGGGAGGCCGCAGTGGTGCGCGCGCGCGCGCGCGCGCATCTTCGGGCAGCTACAGGGAGGAGAGGGGGAGAAGAGGGGGGCAACAATGGAGCGTGAGTGAGGGAGAGAAAGAGGCAAAGACGAAAGGGGAGGGGGGAGAGAGAGAGAGAGGCGGGGCATTGCGAGGCTCAGTGTCATCAGACCAGCGGGGTCTCCCCCGCCCTAACCATGTTCTCCTCATTATGAGGTCGGTTGTCCCTATCTAGTTACGGTCATCAGGCGACAGAGCAAACGCGGGGGGCGCGCGCGCGCACACATGTGGCCGTGCGCGGCAGAGGGGGGGGGGAAAGAAAAGAAGCGGCAAAGGAGGGACCGGAGAAAGAACAACGTACGCGAAAAAGGCCAGCGGACAGCCGGGCCGACGATGGTGTGGGGACCGAGCGGCAGGATAGCCGGCCGTCAGGGGTCCCCCTTATATAGGTACCAGGACCTCGCGGGCGCCCTCCAGCCCGGAGATCCCTCGATGTGTGCCGCAACAAGGGCAGACGACCCGCACTTCTCCGCGCCCGGCCAGCATCCACGGCCCCCCCCCCTCAGCGGTCCTATTCCACCCGGCCTGCGGGGGGGGGGGGCATACCGCAAGGCACGCACGCGCGACCGGCCTCAACCACAGGACCCCCAACGCAAGCACTCCTGCGTGCCACCACCGGCATCTGGTGGAATGCCATTCCGAGACGCAATCCCAGACCGCTCGTGTGACCTGCGCATTGTCACGCGCCGGTTGTTTGTTTTCGCCTGCGATCCACGCCCAGTCCGCGGCCCGGCCCCATTCACTTGCCCCCGCTCCGTCTCGGCCAAGCGGGTCGCGCCAGGAGGCGCCGCCACCATGACACGGCACGACCCCGGGGCGCCGGTGCATTTCCATCCGCACATCCCGGCCAGTGAGGGCGACACGCGTGCCCACGCGAGGAGAGGCGAGAACCGGACAAGAGAGAGGGGGCGTTCATTTGGTCGGCCCCCCGGGGGAAGGACCAGGGGAGGGGGAGGGGGGAAGGTAGGAGGCGAGCGATCTGCGCGCGCCGGCTGACTGCACTCCTGCTTGCACGTGTGTGTTGACAGCCGCCCATGCACAAGTGCAGGAGGTGCTTCTCACACACACACACACACGGGGAAGGAGGAGCGGAGGGGCGGGGGGGGGGGGAGGACAAAGAATGCAATGTGAAAGAAGAAGGGGGGGAGGGAGGGAGCCGCGTGCGCATGTGCGCGCCTAGGCGGACACCTGATGCGCCGTGGCCGCGCAGGTCAGGTCCTCGGCCGACGGGAGGACCACCGTCGGGGCCAGGATCTCCTGGATCTGGGGCAGCAGGGTGGTGTAGATGGCATCCGAGGTGGGGCCGGTGAAGCGCCCGACAATCCCGCGATCCATGTAGTAATCCAGGATGGGCTGGCTGGTTTGGGCGTAGAGCTCCAGCCGGCGACGGACAGACTCCTGCAAGGGAGGGGGGCGATGATTAGCAACAGAGTCTGACAGGGGGGGGGCGCAACATGAAGGAGGCCAGGCCGAGGCGACATACGGGATCATCGTCCACGCGCGAGACAAGCGGCTCGCCGGTTAGATCGTCCACCCCGGGGACCTTGGGCGGGCTGAAGGTCCGGTTGTAAATCCGCCCACTGCCGGGGTGGATGAGGCGCCCGGCAATGCGCTCGACGATGACCTCGGACGGCACGTCGATGTGAATAACATAATCGATGGGGGCCTGGCGGCTCGGGGTCAACGACGTCAGGACCTCGTCCAGGGCCATCGCCTGCCCGAGGGTTCGGGGGAAGCCATCAAGGAGCCAGTTCTAGGGGCAATCGGGGGCGCGCGCCGCACACACACACACACACACACACACACACACACACACACACACACACGTAAAGATATGTAGATATGTCAACACATGGCGCATATGCATGCAAACACGCACGCGCATGCCCGCGGAGGGGATGGAAAAGAGGAGGCGCAGGGGAAATGTCAGCGGATGGAGGAGGAGCATGGCGAAGGCGGGAGAGGGGGGAGGGGGGGGGGGCGCGCCCGCGGGACCGCCACGCACCGAGCCATCCATGGCAGCGAGCTGTCCCGCAATCAGCTTGACCATGTCGTCATCAGGAACCAGGCCGCCGGAGTTGATCAGCGCCTCGACACTCTGGCCGAGGGGCGTGCCGGCGCGCATCTCCGCGCGCAACAGATCCCCCGATGACAGGGCCGTCAGCCCGGGCGCCGAAGCCGTGCAAGGCTCGACATCGGCCTGGGTGGGTGCATTCAAGTCGCGCCCCAGCCAGCCGGCCAGGGTGCCCTTGCCGGAGCCCGGGGCGCCAAAGATCAGCAGTCGACGGTTTGACGCCGAGGCGTCGCCCGCCGCGCAGGAGAAAGCCCGAATCGGCTGCTGGCCGAGCGTGCGGAACAGGGCGGGCGCCTTCCGGCCGAGGATTGATGACGGCAACATGTTTGGTATGGGGAGGAGTAGGGAGGGTGACTGGGGGCGAATGGGGGAGGGGGGGGGGGAAGCGAGGGGAGAATGTGAATAGGTAGCCAAGATCGACGGCTCTGGGGGATCGGCCTTGTGGGATCAAATAAACACCCGACATCACATCACCACGGATTGCGAGTCGGTGGGGGGGGGAGGGGGGGGGACCGCCCTGCTGCGCGGGCGCGCACGACAATCTTCCGTTGGAGACTGGCCGCCA